TTTGGGCCCCCCCCCCCCCCAAAAAAAAAAAAGAACTCCACCCCATGGACTCCTAGTTTGTATATTTAACAAAGTAGTTGTGCATTATGAACTATTGGATCTTTGTTTACTTTTGTGCACAGCAATGAAGTTAACCAGACTAACATGAACTGCATTGCAGAGTTGGAAGGCAAGTGGTGAATGTTCCTTCGTTTATGGTCAGATTGGACTCTCAGAAGCACATTGACTTCTCCCTAACCAGTCCTTTTGGTGGCGGACGCCCTGGAAGAGTGAAGAGAAAGAACCAAAAGGCTGCTGCCAAGAAGGCTTCAGGTGGTGATGGTGACGAGGAGGATGAAGAATAAGCATTTGCACTAGAACCGAAAGAAAGCTGTTGGTGATGCAGCTGTTCGTTTTTGGAGTTTTTAGTTACCCATGTAGTGCTTCCTTGCATTCCTTTCTTCGATATTGTGTACCTTCATATTTTAGAAAGAAATGTTCTTAGCAGAGATTGGGAGAATGTTTTGAAGTTTGGATTTTGCACCGATGGTTAGAGTTTAGACAATTTGTTTTTGAATCAGACGATGTGTTATTTAAGTTGTAGAAGCGAGTCCATTAAATTGCCTAGCTTCAACCCTTTTCTTTAGATAGACCATTAAATTTTTTTACTCTGAGTTTGCATGTTATTTTACTTTGTTGTAGAAACTGTCAGATCTGGAAGTCTTGGACTATCTTCTTGGTCGAACATTTTGGTTTCTGGCAAACATTCTTCAGTCACCTGAGAAATCTAGTGGTTTTTGAAATGTAAGTTAGCCTTGTAGTTAAAGGTAATACAGCTATAGATGTTCATTCTTGTCTTAGTATTAAATCTTTATAATATGGACGCTAATATGAAAGGTTAATCGTTCTTTGCCCCTTTGAACGAGATGACTTAGATGCTAAGTAAGCTAGTGCATTGAGTTGTTATGAAGTTTATTGGGTTTATCCTATCTTGGTTTTCTAAAGAGGAATTTTCATAAATCACTATAATTTTGAATTTAGTAACTATAATTTGTCTAATTACTATTTGTAGCTACTATTCAATTGTTATTGACTTGTATTAGTTGTATTCAAATGTGTAACGAATACAACTTGTGTCAACTGTATTTGTTGTGCATAGTGTATCAACTGTATTCTTTTGCACAATTATATTGATTCGTGCAATGAATACAATATGTATCAATAATAACCAATGCAAAATACAAGGGTATATACAATGGATACAACTTGTGTTGATTGTATCCAAGGATACAACATTTATCGACTGTATTTGTTCGCACAACGAATACAATAAAAGCGAAATACAGAAAAAATACAAAAAAATAAAATGTTCTTGTTGAGAGTCAAACTCAAGACTTTCGCAACCTAAACAAGCGCTCTAACCAACTGAGTTACGAGGGCTTGTTGCTCTCTTGTTTCAGCTCAAAGTAATTTAATCTCTTATTTTGAGGATTTTCTATAAGACTCAAATATAGCTATGAATGGTAAATTTGCCGAAAGTATAGCTACGAATAGTAAATATAGTGTAACTGTTTGATGTGTCACGTAATTTTCCTGGATCAACTCTTAAGGGTTGCTTGGTTACAAGGATAAGGGATATCTCAGAATAAAATGTGTGATTAAATCTGCGATAGAAGTCGAATACAATTAAGTAACTAGGGGCAAGATACAGACTTTAGAGCGTCAAGTCATACACAAATCGGAGTGACTTCACTACATGAAGAAAGAAAGCTGCTTCGGCAGGGTCGAAGAAGATGTGTAAGACACCGGGGGGCCTTGTGTCATCCGATTTTAGGGAATTCATTGGATCGTGAAGTTGCTTCACACCTGGCCATATCGAGGGAATGAAAATGAACTTGTCCCTAAAAAAGAGAGAAAAGAACTGGAATGGGTGAGGATGGTCATTGAGAAAGATGACTTAATCTCATGTTTCTTAGGATTTAGTTTTGAAATAAGTAAATTCGAGATTAATTATACTACAATTGTGAATCAATATTATTTTTATACCACATTCAATATAGAATAATCATTCGGGGATTGTCTGAGATAAAATAATTTAGGGACAAAAATGTCCTCCTCCAAAACTTTTTCTCCCAACATTCTTTAAGAAGGCTAAAGTTAAATTTGAAATAGAAGATTATTGATAGTTTATATGAGTCGACCAAACTATAGAGTACCAGGTCCTCTATGAGTTTCCACTGAGAATACTAATGAAACAGTAAATAAATAAGACAGAGAGTTTTACGTGGAAAAATCCCTGCTCAGGGGGATAAAAAACCACGACCTACACTGGTAGGATTTCAACTTTACTATGAACAACTTTTAGATTACTGTAGACATGTGATTTTTGACCCTCCCCAAGATTTTTTATATTTTAGCATGTAAATATTTAATTTAGGCCTAATATAGCTATTTCAACTATTTTTGACTTCTTTACTTTATTTTCGTCATAAAAATAGAAAATTACAAAAAATATTTTAGCTTACGTATCTTTCATAAATTTAAATAAAAAATATATACAAAAATAGTACCTTATTTTTATCTTTACATGATCTTGAAAATACAAAAAAATATATAATAGTTTCATGTTAGCTTTTGCATTATGTAGTATTTTTATCTTATTTTAAAAGAAGTCGATTAAGGTGTTGGATCATAATTTTAAGAGTTTTAGAATCCAGTTCTTGGCCCAAGTCGGATTAGTCCATTAAGCCTAGAGACCCTTCTAGACTATTCTTTGGAATAAAAACAAACAAAAAGACCCTAAGGACCTAATACACAAAAGACCTAGGGACTAATGGGCAAAATACACAAAAATACACCTAAACCTAGACTCTACATATAAATTAATGCTTAAAAATCAAAAAAGGAGAAGGCTGAACGGAAAGCTGCAAAAAGCTGTGCAGCTTTTGAAAGAGACCCCCCGCATCATCTTCTCCGCAGACCCCCACCCCAAACGACCCTCGATTCTTCATCTTCATGAGGGCTTAACACAAAACCCTAAGCAAGAACTCCATCTCCATAGCAGCTTGAACACGAAACGACCCGACCCCATATGTTTCTTCTTCATGAAGATCTAACAAAAACCAGAAAACACAAAAAGAACCCTACGTGAGCTTGAGCCATTTTTAATAGAGAAAGGACCTTTCAGCTTCTGCTTCTTCCCATTAACAAAACTCGCCAAAACCTTTAACACCAGCTGATGTTCTCTTCGTCTTCCTCCTCCAGCAGCTCGCCTGAAAAACGAGCTCCAGCCGAAAACCAGAACACACCATCAACAGCCACCAACGAGTCCAGCCGTGAATCTCGTTCGTGAATCCCAGTTTACTGCCTTGTAAAAGTTTCTGAGGCCTCTCTTTCTTCTACTGGACAACAGTTGCTTTGAGTTTGGATGTAGAGTTTTCCGGCGCCGATTTGAGGTTCCGGCTCGTAGTTTAGGCATTTCAGTCCGCCGATCGTGGCTCTGTTTGGTTTGACGAGTGATGTTGTAAATCTCCAGCTTTGTTTATCAACATGGAGTTATTTTGAATTCATTTCCATATCTATCAAGGACAACGTGTTCTTTCAGGTGCAAACGTTTTGCAGCTTCAAGTTTAAACTTGAACCCGGATTTCTTTGGTTCCTTTCCCTCGCTCTTGCTTGATTTATTACTCGAAAATTAGCCCAAGGTATGAGTTAGCCTTGACAATTTTGTTTCTGGGGTTTTGTTTGGATTGAAAGAACAGAGATGAGGTCAAAGTTCCTTCCCATATTCGGTCTTGTAAAGGAAAAGCAAAGGATTGGACGACCTGACAGTTATCCTCTTAATACGTGCATTAAATTGGAAAAAGGACTGTACTTGTTTTGATTAATATTAGAACTTATCGAGCTATGGTGTTGTCCCAATTTCGTGTGGGAAATAATTCAGCTCAGATTTGGGAAACAGTTTGGTTTCGAGCTTTCCGGTGACGATTCGAGATGTCATCCGTTTTTCAGCTTTTCGGTGTTAATTCGAGTCTCGTCTATGGTTCGTTACACCTCGAGTTCGAAGTAGTGAAATAATCAATTGTCCGGCTCTATTAAGGTTCAACTCTTTCACCCTCTATTCGTTTATGCTGGTTTAATATTAATTATTTGTTTGGTGATATGATCTTGTTGATTCTGTAACTGTTCTCCGTGGTTTTGAATTTGCTCGCTTGGTTATCTGCTCATGTTTACTCGAATTGGTTATAGCTGAACATGATTTTGTCACAGTATAGAAAGTTGGATTACTATTCATCAACGGAACTACGTAAAATTATATTAAAGGAGCCCGGGTGTGCATTTCATGTGACCCGACTCCAACTTCGAACAAGGTTAAATAAAGCGTGTAGTGAACCACAGGTGCATTTCATGTGACGTGGCTTGCGATATGTTTTAAATAACCTTGAAATCTTCCTAAAAATGAAAAAAATGGTTTATAAGTAAAAATGCACATAGGTCTAAACGTGTATTAACATCAGATAATAGGCCAATTATAACAGTTGAGCGACCGTGCTAGAACCACGGAACTCGGGAATGCCTAAAATCTTCTCTCGGGTGAACAAAATTCCTTACCCGGATTTCTGATTCGCGGACTGTAATACAAAGTCAAGCTTTTCCTCGATTCAGGATTCAACCGGTGACTTGGGACACCATAAATCTCCCAAGTGGCGACTCTGAATCTTTTAATAAATAAATCCCGTTTTGATTGTCCGTTAATTGGAAAAACTTCTTTATACCCTCTCGGGGGTGAAAAAGGAAGTGTGACAGCTCTAGCAACTCTGATGGGGATCGAACCCAGAATCTCTGGTTCAGGGTTCAAGAATTCAAGCGAAAATGAATTGTTATATTTGGCCTTGTTTATTATCTGATTTTATTACATGTTTGGGCCTAATGTGCAAAATGTTGCTTTTTACTGCTTTGATATTATTTGAAATGTATATATAAACTGCTACGAAATCTCTCTCTTCTCTCTCCTGAGGAGTGCACGCTGGTCGTGACTTCTTTCTGTTAGTGTCATATCCCAAATAGAACGAGGTTTAGACAAGTTGCAAAGCCGAATGATCTTTTGGTTACCGGTACGCAGCCCCCCCCCTCGGCTCGAGTTGTCCGCTCGGGTAAGCTAGGTCTAGAACAAATAAACCTAGGTTTTTAAACCTAGAAAAACACAGCCTCATGCCGGATCCCTAGTAGGAACGTTTGTCTGCATCACGTGCATTTGACTTAGGGGACTCAACACAGGGGTTGGGTCCGTCTAGGACAAGTTTTCCCAAAATAAGAAACCATCTTGATGCATCCTATGTGCTACATGTTGCATTTCTTCAAGGGTAAAAGGGTCATTTGGCAGACCAATGATATTTTATTGCGAATGAAAAAAAGAAGAGAAAAAGAGAGAGTAGTGTGGAGATAAAGCGAGTTGGCCCAATTATGTTATAAAAAAAAGAGCTTGAAAATTCAGAATTTTTTTTTGCATTTTTTCATCATTTTCCGAAAATCAAAAAATCAAAAAAAGTGAGAAAAAAGAAAATCCTAAAAGATTTTGCATGTTTCATCATTTTTCAAGAAAAAAGCAAAAAAAAATATGTTTTCTCTAAATTAGTTATTTTTTTTAATTATCGCCCGTATCCAAGCT